TCGAGCGAGCATTCCTTGGCTCGAGCGAACATGGGCGGACATGCAATTTTGAATGCAATTTTGCAATTTGCATCAGCCGTGAGCTGATCGGGCAGCTCGACCTCCGTCATAATCAGCGAAGTGGCAATCTTGAAAGCATTAACAACACAAACTTCTCTGAACGGCACAATTCGGGTTGGATTCACATCTAATAAACTCATAGCCTCACTGAAATAAAAGAGCGAAAATAAATACAACTGAAATGAGTTTTGTCAAACGGGTTTGCCAATAATAAAAACCTAACAATCTCCCCCTTTGGCAATGCCGTGACAAAACACACCTAACAAATAAAATCCTAAACACCCCAACCCATTACAGCCAACAAAAGCCAACAAAAGCCAACATCTTTCTTAAGGTCATGATCTGCAAAACAGTTATTAGTGCCACAATCTCCAAAACAACTATTAGTCCCACAAGAGTATATTAAAAAGCAATAGACATATGACACGATTATCTTGAAACATGAGATGGAAAATATGAATAGATGAAAACTAAGACTCATTGTAGACGTCCTCGAACGCCTCGAGGAAGGAACGAGTCCACCCCGTTCTGCTCGTTTTGGGCTCACTACAGTTCGAACTCTCAAATTGTCACGGTTCTAAATCTGAACCAAAGAGTCCAAATCCGGCAAATCGTTTTGAGAAAATAGATTTTTTTGAAAGAAGTGCCAAACATAGACTGCTTTGCCAGATACAGAGTCGCCACCTAAATATTTTATTTTTGGAAAATTTAGGAAATCCTGACTCGTTGCCTAAGGCCACGTGTCCGTCATCACTAAAGTTGCGTCGGCTCGGGAACTTGGGTACGATTGGGGAAGGTCACTTCGTGAGCACCCCCGCTCGCTCGATCAAAGATTGGCCTCTACTAACCATAATATCTATTTTTGAAAACATTATGTGTTCTTATTCCGGTTATTAGCCTAGATTTACTATGTGATGCGCACAGCATACAAGTATAGACTGGGTCGCCTGAATTGGAGCAAAACATTTCATGTATGTTTATTTTGAAAATGGTTTGGTGGTGCTACTTGCAAGTAGGCTAAGACGTGGATTTGTCACCCTCGGATGGTCTTAGAAAACATGATTTTGCCACTATCTAGTGGGCTTTAAAACACACATTTTAACGAATTGCTCCAACTCAAATAACCCAACCTTCACCCACAGGCACTCAAGCAATTATATCACATAAGCATTTAGCCTCATGGTAAGCATACTATCATGGCAGTCACTCACACACATGCAAGGATGCTAAAGCATAAAAACTTACCGAGTACTCCAAGCCAAAACAGAAGCTAATTAGAAATCCATGTATGATCCTAATTATACAGAAATGCCTAATGCAACACATACAAAATAAGAAAACGTGTATTTCCAATTCTAATTATTTTAGCTAAAAGTTAAAATATTTGTTAAGAAATTTGGGGGAAAAAAATTAAGAAAATGGCATATTTTCATTATTTTTTTAAGTTTATTTTTATTTTATTTTAGATATATTTCTACGACACGCAATGTTGCCTAATGTATGTAGATTTTCAACTGGTACTAAATTTACAATACAATTGTGGAAAAATAAGCATTTTAGTCATTAAACTTAATGTAGGTTTACAAAAAATATCTAAAATGTTCAATTAGATTGAAAATAGGCAAATGATTTAGATTAAAAATAAATTAAAATAATAGGGTTTGAATTCATAAATTTAAGTTTTTGAAATTTATTTTATTATAAGAGTCAAATCCTAGAATTTATTAATGTCATCTAAGTACAATTATATTTTTTAATTATAAAAATTATAATATCGTATTAAATAAAGGGCACTCCATAATTAAAATTTTCAATCTTTTGAGTCATCAGGTCCAAACTCTAGTCTCTTTGGATCAAAGGACACAATTTGTCTAAAAAGACAACTATTAGTTGAAATCAATCTATTTATCTATATCTTGAAATCAATCTTTCTTTCTTTTTTTCTTTTTTTTTTTTCTTTTTTTGATCGGCAAAGAAAAGCTTTGTTGATAAAAAAAACAACCGAATTACATCAATAAAGAGAAACTTGGAGCTAGAATAAGCACCAACCTCCTAGTTGTTCAGTAGCCAACAAACAAAGCAAAACAGAGATAAAAACAGCAGAACAATTGAGTAAAAAAGCACCAAAAATCTGAGCAGCTCAACACCACAATCTGAGCATAATCTTAACAGTCTCTAACAAGATAGAACAATTGACTTGCTTTCTAAGGCCTTGTATGAGCAGCATACCACCATCATCCAGCCATCCAGAGCAGACCAGCTTCCAGCAGCATTAGCATTACCACTCCCCTCCTAAAATCTGCACACAAAACAGACCTCATAAAATCTACATATAATCTTAAAATCTACATACACCAACAGACCTTCAAGGCCATACATCAGACCAGCAACCAATATAGCAGTAGAAATTAGCATAACTCTGCATTTGGAGGAGGATCCCCTTTGGTTACTAGATTCGATCTTACTTAGCAGGCCAAAACAGTAAAGCAACATAACCAGCAAAGCTGCATATCAGATTCTAGCTCCATCAGTCCACCAAGCCCTTAGTCCAGAATCAACCATAGTCAACCATAGCAGCAGCCATGCTCCCACACAAAGCAGAACACAACACAAGGGAAAAGGAATCCCATGATACTAACAGATTTTGAAATCAATCTATCAGTTGACATCTATCTATCACTGTATTTGTTAAAATTCACCAAGCTAATTATTTGTTAAAATATGACACATGATACTCATTCAACAACTTATCTGTTGAATATCACGCATTTCTTTACTGACCACCACCACCTACTACTGTCAGTCACTAGTGATTTTTCTGGCCAATTTTTCAACAACTTTTTTTTGCATCAACAACTTTTTCTTACATGTCCTTATCACCAAATAAAATTTTGCCTTAGATCTAATTCTTTATACCCACCTTGGAATGGACTTTTCATCAATTTTCTCTTAAAAAGGCCATAAATCAGAATGAAAAAATGATCATCAAGTTCTATTTTGTTTTGAAAATTACTAATAGTTATATATCAAATTTCAATATTAACAAATATGTTCTATTTTCTTTTTTATTTTATAAATTGTTATAAATAAAAAAATAAAAAAAGGTTCAATTATTCATAATAGTATAGGTTATTTTAAATTTATCTTTCAAAATTTTATAAACAATTTTGATTTATCTGAAATTTTATATTAAAAATATTTTTAATTGTTCAAAATTAAATGAATAATTTATAAACAAAATGCATAAGTATGAGATTCATCAACTATCTTATGCATTAAGAAATATATAAATTATTCATAGTGTTATCTTTCATAGATTTTTCTAATTTTAATAGAATTTAACCCTTTTTGATTGTTTACTCTAAGAAAATTCATAATTTGAAATAAAAGAGAATAATGCACTTTATACTATAGTTATTTCGATCTAATTATTATTTATGATTTTTTAAATGTACTATTAATAATTTTTGTAATTAAAATTTAAATCTTAGTTAAGTTTAAATTGATTATAAAATTATTGTGAGAATGGTAAAACTGGGATAAGAACACAATTATGGAGAAATGAACAATTTGGGAGCATTTTATGAAAAATAGGACTTAGTTGCTCTTGTTGAAATTTAGGGATGCAGCTTAAGTGGGCTCAACCCGAGCAACCTGAGCACAACCCAAACTTTTTTAGGGCTTGAGAAAAATATTTTTAAATTCTGTACGGGTTTGGATAAAAATTTAGAAGTCCGAATCAAATTTGGACAAGCTTGGGAAAAAATATCAAACAACCCAAACACCTCGAAACCCAAATTATGTATATAAATATATATAAATGATTAGCCATTAGATTATATTAAATAATTTAGATCATTAGATCATATTGAATATATATTATATACACAAATAACACAATACAAAATTTTACTTATTCATTTTTCCTCACTCATAAATTGTAAAGACCATGATCTCGACATTTCTCTTACATTATATAAATTATTTGTTTTGATGTTATTAATGATTTTATAAAATAAATAAAAAACAATTATAAATAGTATAATTTTAGCAAATTAATTAACTTTGCTGCACTAAAAATAAAAATAAAAATAAATAAAATTAAAATTTATATGCAATTCGGACAACTCGGATAATTTGGATTTAAATCGAGTTGGGCTTGGCCAAACAACCTTGGATTACAATTCAGGTTTGGGAAAGCCTAGGCAACTTTTTAGCACAACTTGGGTTAAGCTTGGATAACCTTTCAATCCACCCAAGTTGCATCCCTATTGAAATTCGATAGAATTCAATAGTAATTTTGAGAACGTAGGATTTGTTGATAATTTAAGTATCATTATTATATTTTTGGTAACAAAATTTATACATTAGTGATAAAAAAAAGTTTTTTTTTTTTATTTGATCGGCAAAGACAAACTTCATTGATGAAAACAACCAAAATACATCAATAAAGAGGAGCTTGGAGCTAGAAGAAGCTCCAACCTCCAAGTTGGTGAGAAACGAACGTACGGGCGAAAAACAAAGGACCAAAAATAGAACAAAACAACCGAACTACCAAGAAGAAGAATACTAAATCAGCACCAATAGATTGACAAAACTCCAAAATCTGATTAAACTCCACCCTTTCAGCACCAAATCTGATCAATCAGCACTCAGGCCTTTCAACTCTGAGGAAACTGAAGCATTCCCAGACTGAGAAAAGCAACCCATATAGCCCCTGAAGTCTAATAACTGAGTAAACTCAAACCAAAACTGAACAAACTACAAAAAGACAGCAAAGACTCCTAGATCAGACCACAAAGCTACTCTGTGGCACAACACTCTGCTTCTAGAACCGATAGTTGAGGAGACTTCATACATGCAGCCTAATCTGGTGGAGGTTAGACACAAGATCATGAACTGAATAATCAACCTTGAAGAACATTTACCCACTGTGCAATCTACAATTTCATCCTCTCACATAATCCTTCAAAATCTGGAATAACCCCCTTAAACAAACAGTCATTTCTCAGCTTCCAAACTGACCACATCACAACAGAAGGAACAACCTGCCAAGCTCTAAAGACCCAAGACTTCAACTTACCCCCTGACCACCACTGTAGCAGACCCTCAATAGAGCCAGCAATGACCCAAGACTGATCCCACCAGCTGGCCATGGCTGCCCAGCACTTCCAAACCTGAGGGCAAAACAAAAGCATATGCTCTAGAGACTCCACCTCGGTTTGACAGAACACACACTGGGTCTCTACATTGGGAGGTAAAACTTCAATCATATGGAGGAAGGAAGATGTCTTTATTCTGCCTCTCCAAGCCAGCCAGTAGAAGAACTGCATCTTTGGAGGTGCCAAACTTACCCACACCCCAGCTGGCACCCTCATACCATAACTTTTTCCTGCAATCCACCAACTCCACACTGAGAATACAGAAAATTGCCCAGAAGTAGATGCAAGCCAAGAGCAAGAATCTTCCGTTTCCACCCTAAGTGCAGGGGATGATTCTAGTAATTCAAATAGCCTCTGCAGCTTTTCTTCCTCCCAAGCCAATAGAGTTCTTCTGAATTGGAGCTGCCACACCCCTAGACTGCTCTTCTTAGCACTAATTTGCTGTAAGGATTCTTCTTTCTCAGTGGACAGACTATACAATCTGGGATAATCTTCCTTCAAACCTCTGACATTGAGCCAAGCATCAGTCCAGAACTGAATCCTCCTCCCATTACCCACTGATAGCTTAAGATTCTGACCATAGAACTCACCCAAAGGCTGGTTAACTGTGGTGAGCTGCACTATATCCTTCCAAACTGTGGACACCCCTTATGAGCTGTACAGAGATAGCATCCAACCCCTTCCAAATCGACCATATCTTGAGCAAACCACTGATTTCCACAAGGCATTGTCCTTTGCACCATATCTCCACCACTACTTTAGCAACATACAATCATTCACCTCACCCACATCTCTCACATCCAAATTCCCTTGATTTTTACTTTTAGTAACCTCACCCCAATTCACCAGGTGAACACTCCTCTTAATATCAGAGCCACCCCACAGGAAATTTGATTGAATTTTAACTAAAGCCTTAACAACCCCCTTGGGCATTTTGATAATAGAAAGAAAGTAGATAGGCAGATTAGAGAGAACTGATTTAATCAAGGTCAGACGCCCAGCAAAAGACAATAGTTTTCTCTTCCAAGAAGACAACTTCTTGTTCACCTAATCCCCTATTGGACTCCAAGTGCATTTCCTCTCAGGATTGGCCCCTCAAGGCAATCCTAAAACATTAAAAGGCAATTTTTTAGATAGGCAGTTCAATCTTTGAGCTAAACCCAGAGTTTCATCCTTTTGGAAACCTACTTTGCAAACTATACTCTTGTGATAATTAATTTTTAAACCAGACATCACTTCAAAACACCTCAACACCCTTTTAATATTTAGCACATCCTCCATATCACCTTCACAAAATACTATTGTGTCATTTGTAAATTGGAGATGTAAAATACGCAATTCATTACCTCCAACTGTGGCTCCACTAAACAAGCCCTTCTCTACTGCCCTTGCTAATAAAAGGTTGAGTGCTTCAGCTGCAATTATAAATAGAAATGGTGAAAGGGGATCACCCTGCCTTAGCCCCTTCTGTGGTTGAAATTCCTCTATGGGTGTTCCATTAACCCAAACAGATACCCTGGCTGTAGAAATGCAAGTCCTCATCCAACCTAAACATTTCTCTACATTAGTGATAAATTATTATTCTTTTGAGACCAAATATTTTGTCTTAAAATTTAGATCATTTTGGAACCAAATTATTTCATTTCTAAAAATACATTTATTAGTGACATTTTTAAATTTTTGTAGCTAAAAACCCTATTTTTATTTTTCAAGATAATCTTTTAGCCACTATGTTCACGAATCACGATGATAGGAATTAGTCCCGAAATATTTTTTGTAACAAATTTTTACTTTTAGGGGAAAAAACTAGTTTTTATAACTCTTATATGTTGTGTTTTTTTATTTTTAAAAAATTGAGAAAAAAAAATTACCAGTTTTGGCATTGCTATTTTCACTTTAACCACTAGTAATGCTCTAGCCAATGGAGAATTAATTTGGAAAAGAAGAAAATAATCCATTCATTATTTTTTTAATTAATAAAGCAAGTACTGGTACTCGTACTTTCTTCAGTTGATCAATGCTCTAGTAGTCTACAATATTCTATGTTAAAATTTGACTTCACAATCAATAAGTGTGAGAATATTATATAATTATAGAAATTTATGCAATTATGGAATTAGATTGATTGTGAATATTCAATTGATTGTATTTCCTATTCTAGATTAGGGTTAGGATTCTTATAAATATTTGTTGTAATTTTTGTATTATTTACAAGTTGAATATACAAAACATTCAGGGAGGGTTCATTTGTGCCACCACAAAAAGTTGTTCGTCCATAAGTGAGTCATGCAACACTAAAGGGTCATTAGTATGCTCAACAAGGATTCGGGAAGAGAAGCTACACGTGCGGGAATGACCCTCCGTATGTGCAGGGTTGACCTTTTTGGCTAAACGTCCATGTTTTTGTTCATTTTGTGCTTTAACTGCACCCAGCCTGATTGACATTAAACAGTAGTAAAATGTACAAATTGAATCAAAAAAAGGGTTAAGAAATCTCAATTATCGGCCTCAATGATATACAATTCGGCCTCAATCAATATCAATTGTAGTTATCAAATAGGTTTAATTAATTACCACTTAATACATACAAGTATACATGTTAAATTATATTATCAAACACTCCCTTATTGATACGCGTTCAACTTCCTTACCTATTTGTGTAGTTCATGTTTTTTGGCTAATAAATAAATAAATGTGAGGGTTTTAGTTTAAGGTCCTTAATATTAAGATTTTATAAGATAAATGATATAAAATATTTTCATAGTAGTTTGAGTCTCTTAACATTGTCACAGAGAAAATTTTCTGTGACAAGTTAAAATTTCTCTAATAATATTATTGAGGGACCTTAACTAATAATAAAAAACATATTAGACATCTCCTACAACTAAAAGTTGGAAAAGAATGTTTCATTAATTTTTTCATAAATGTGCCATAAACCGTTTGCATTCACTACTCATTAAATATTTTCAAGATAATAATAGATGATTAATTCATAATCATTTCTATTAAAATTAGTATCATACCTCTTACAAATAATGTGCAACACCCCCAAAATATACATACCGATTCAATAGGATTAACTCACATTTATAGTCTTATTCTCATCATACATTCTCATCATACATGTGGAACTTATAATCAACGCCAACCATTCAATGAAAAATTCATGTTAAATCTTTATACTTCATTATAAGTTTTAGTTTAGAGATTTAAAAAAATAAAATCACATTCATTAACACATTCACTATCCCTATAACATGAATCTATAGGTGATAAGAGAAGTTAAAGCAAATTAACTACAAAATAATGCCTTTACGACTACAAATTCAAAGGCTTTGTCCGGTTACATAACATGGTTTTCAAAACCCATATATAGATAGCCCTTGACTTGCAAAACAAAAACAAATAAAAAGCAAGCCTTGTGCTTCAAAAGAAATCCTCCACAGCTTTACTTTGGCGGAAGCACATCACAATCACTTGAAAATGGTTACCACTAAGGGATGAGCTCAAAGTCCAACAGAGATAATCTAAATAAAGTGCATATAGTTTAACAATATCATGATATGCAATGCATATGAAATGCTAATGCCAAAATATAACTTTTCTCATTTTGAAATTCTCATCCAATGCACTTATTCGAAAATGTAATCACTTAAATCATCCATTTGATAAAACAAAGGCCGGTAAATATGATACTGGTAATCTCTAGGTTGGTGTCTGCAAGTAGGCTCTCAAAGAAATACCAAAACTACTTCATCGGCTCCTAATCGGAAGGAACTTGGTACCTACTCTGCCTGTTGTAGACGTCCCCGAACGTCCCGGGAGGGTGAGTCCCGTTCTGTTCATTTGGAGTCAGTACAGCTCGAACTCTCAAATTGTCACAGTTCTTAATCTGAACCAAAGAGTCCAAATCCGGCAAATCATTTTGAGAAACAGATTTTTGAAAAGAAGTGCCAAACATGGACTGTTTTGCCAGATACAGAGTCGCCGCCTAAATATTTTATTTTGGGGAAATTTAGGAAACCCTGACTCGTTTGCCTAAGGCCACGTGTCCGTCATCACCAAAGTTGCCTCGGCTCGGGAACTTGGGTACGATTGGGGAAGGTCACTTCGTGAGCACCCCCGCTCGCCCGATCAAAGATCGGCCTCTACTAACCATGATATATATTTTTGAAAACTTTGTGTGTCCTTAAACCAGTTATTAGCCTAGGTTACTATGTGATGCACACAACATATAAGTATAGACTGGATCGCCTGAATTGGAACAAAACATTTCATGCTTTTTTGTTTGAAAATGGTTTGATGGTGCTACACATAGATTTGCCACCCTCAGGTGGGCTTAGAAAACATGATTTTTCCACTCTCAAGTGGGCTTAAAACTCACATTTCGATGAACTGTCTCAATTCACGTAATCTAGCCTTCATCCACAGGCATTCAGGCTATTATATCACATAAGCAGTTAGCCTCATGGTAAGCATGCTATTCATGGCAGTCACTCACACGCATGCAAGGATGCTAAAGCATAAAACTCACCGAGTACTCCAAGCCAAAACAGAAGCTATGTTAGAAATCATGCATGATCCTAAACATACAGAAATGCCTAATGCAACACATGCAAAAATGCAACTATAACAAGCTCGGCTATTCTAAATATGGCATATGAAATGCTACAGCTAACATGTATTCAACTTGGAATTGAAATACAAATGCAGTTAGTATGATGCGCCGAGCCCGGTGCATGCAATATAGATGAATGAATGCAAACATGCTATCATACTGTATGCTAATTGAAACATGCCCTAATCTAACCATCATAAGCAGGGAAACAAAAGGGAAGAAAGACGTGGGGTTGGAAGACATACATCACACGCACGCACACTTATTACAGTTGTGCCCTCGCTCGGAGGGTCCGAATAAATAATATACAGTCCCAAATGAATAAATAATACAGTCCCGAATAAATACAAAAAAAATCCTAATTAATTTACAAATTAATGTAAGAAAGCTATAAACTGGCATGCAAGCCAGGGACTGCCTCGACTCTGATGAACGATGTATGTTGGGCTGCCTTGCGCGAAAATCCACTAGGATGCCCCAATTAGCCTCTGTTTTGCAGTTTATTCTTGGAATGCGCGCCAAGCCCCGGAAGACTGCTGATTCTTGATATGCTGCAACAGAGAGCAGGAAAGGGGCATAGCAATGTATTTTCACAAATGTATGCATGCCTCGATCCCCGTGCCACCAATCACGCATCTCGATGCATGATGGCCGAGGAGTCAGATTATGCAACTCAATATAGAATGAATGCACATGAAAACACAATGAGGCCTAAACTCCATCATGGGTAATCCGGAGTGTCGGTGACAGGGAATTGAGACACGTTCCGTCACTCGGAGTACGGAACGTACCTCGTTTCCCGTGCTCGGGCTAACTCCTATCCCAAACACGATGCAATATGCATGATATGTATGAAATGCAACTAAGATGCAACCTAGCATACACAATGCTATGAAATGGCATACACGATGCACGAGGTAAAATGGCATACACAATGCGCTAATAGATAATCTAGCATACGCAATGCTATGAGATGAAATGGCATACACAATGCATTATGGACTTACACTAACATGAGTGGACCTTAGCCACACTCACATAAGAGGCTATTAGATGAAAATGAGACAACTTGAGATACGCGCACGCATGCACATAAACTGAGGACTGAACCTAAGGCACGCATGCCACTCTAACAAAACATGGCAAAGCATGGAATATGATATGCGAACATGCAAATTTCAGAAGTGAGATATGATGCAAAACAGCCCCCGAACATAGAAACATGGCACCCGATGCATGACATGCGACCCGAAACATGAAATTAGGCACATGCATTGGCCTACATCTATACAAAACATGCATTATTTGGACATGG